CTTCGCCCCAGCCCCCGCCCGGCTCTCACAGAAACACTCAGGCTCTTTTTCATTCTCTCCTCGCTGCGGCTCAATCTCTTCCCGTCCTTTTCCCTTCTTTGTTCTTTCTCTTTTTGTCTCCCTCTTATGATATACTTTTTCTGTCTCTTTAACTAAGTCTTGTAATGAGAGATCCTGTAATCCCTCGAGTCTTTGAAGTGTTTTTTTGTTGTTTTTGTTTTTGTTTTTAATATCAGGTGCTGACTGTCCAATAAAAGCCATAGCCACTGAAGCCCTTTGTCTCTCAGGGGCAGGGTCAAACGGGGTGAACCGTCTAAATGCCTCCATGACACGCTCAAGGAACACCGAAGGGGGCTCAGTGTCTCCCTGCATAATTTCCCTTACCTTCCCCAGATTGGTGGGTCATCTTGTAGCCCCACGGAGGCCAGCCACTAGAGTCTGGCGATAGACTGTCAGTCACTCCCTACCTTCTGCCGTATTGAAGTCCCAGTGGGGCCGGAAAGAGGAAAAGCAGCCTCAATGAGGTTAGGGAACTGAGTGGGACGTCCATCAGTCCCTGGGATATTTTTCTTGCTTCCAGTAGGATCCTCTCTCTTTCCTCCATAGTGAAAAGAGTCTGCAGAAGTTGTTGGCAATCGTCCCACATTGGCTGATGAGAAAACATCAAGGACTCTACCAGGCCGGTCAGGTGCTGGGGGTCCTCTGAGAAAGGAGGGTGGTTAGTTATCCAGTTATAAAGATCAGAGGAGGAAAAGGGCCAATATTGGAGTGACTGCAAGGGAGGCAGCCCTTCTTCGGTAACTGGCGGCGGGGACCCGGACGCTTGTAGGGGTAAGGCAACAGTGGTGTCGGGGAAGGAGAGAGCCTGTCGGTGATGACTCCTAGTGCCTTGGGCCGGCCCTGGGAGAACGCCTTTGGAGGGTGCAGAAGGAGCAAGGACTGGTTCAGGCAGGACACCAGGATCCCTGCGCTCCCTCCCAGTTGGAGGGGGAGGGTGAGAGTGAGAGGGGTATAGGGGAGGGGGAGGTGGGTCTAGGAGGAGATCTTGGGTCTCTGGGTAGATCTGTTTGGAACGGCTTGATTGGTTTGCCCCTTTTGGAGAGTCAGAATTAGGGGACTATCTTTCGGAGAGTCAGAATCAGGGGACTGAGCTACCAAAACCTGAGGGGGGATCGGGTGATCAGGGTGATGCCTGGGAATCCAGGGCTGGACCCAGGTGGGAGGATTTTGTATCAGGTCTTGCCAGAGATGCCAGGGACAATGGAGGAGGAAGATGGGACATAGCAGAGGGTGGGGGATGGGGAATCAGGGATGGCAAGACAAAGGGCAAGGTATGCAGGATGTAAGAATTGGAAAATTATTTGCTGAGAACATGTATGTTGATGTGCTTGATTGATTCAATGCACAGTGTATTTTGGATGGAAAATTCATTTGTATGTTGTGATGGTGTATAGTGAATTAATTAAAAAAAAACACATAGTGAATATCATCATCAATGGAGAAAAGCTGAAAGTTTTTCCTCTAAAACCAGGTACAAGACAAGATTGCCCACTTTCTCTACTCCTTGTCAATATAGTACCAGAAGGCCAATGCAATGAGAAAAGAGGAAAAAATAAAAAGCATTCAAATAGGAAAAGAAACAGTGAAACTGTCTCCATTTGCAGATGACGTGATTGTATATGTAGAAGGCCCAATGGTTTCCATGATAAAATTCCTGGAAGTAATACATGAATATAGTAAAGTTGCTGGATACAAAATTAATATCCAGAAATCTATAGCATTTCTATACATGAACAACAAGCAGACTGAGATAGAACTGGAAAAAGTTGTTCCATTTGCCATAGCCACAAAAAGTATAAGATACCTAGAGATAAATCTAACCAAAGATGTTAAAGACCTCCACAAGGAAAACTATGAGAAGATTATAAAAAGAAATTGAAAATAACACAAAAAAGTGGAAAGACATCCCATGTTCCTGGATTGGAAGAATTAATATAATCAAAATGGCAATTTTACCCAAATTAATGTATATATTTAATGCAATTCCAATCAAAGTATCAGACACATTCTTTACAGATCTAGGAAAGAAAATCATAAAGTTTGTCTGGAATCATAAAAGACCCCATATTGCCAAAGCAATTCTGAACAAAAAGAGTGGAGCTGGTGACATCTCACTCCCTGACCCAAAAATATACTACAAAGCTGTGGTAATCAAAACAGCATGATACTGGCACAGAAACAGACATGTGAACCAGTGGAACAAAATACAATCCACAGAAATAAATTCTAATACAGTCAACTGATTTTTTTTTTTTTGGAGAGATTTTCACTGTAGGGCGCGTGCGCTCGCCAGACAGACAGAGAGAGACAGAGAGACAGAAAGCGAGAAATCACCCCCCAGGGGGGATGGTCACGCCGCAATCCCTTCTCCTCCATTCTCCTCTC